AAACAGACATGATATGAATTTATATATAAAAATTAATTACAAATCATGCATTAGGAAAAAGAATCTTTACATACAGAATTTAACAAAATTGGCTAAGGCCTTGTTTAATTCCAATTTTTTGAAAATACATTTTTCTCTCTTCTTTTCAACTATGCATTCTTCAATAAAATAATATTACATGCAAATTTAAAACTTTTCTTTATTTTTCAATCAAACATTCCCCATAAAATCACTATTCCAAAATATATTTTTCCTTTGCAAAAAGGCATCAAACAAGTTTTAAATTTTCTATTGGTTAAATCTTTTACCAACGTACAAAAGTACCAAATTTGCACATGAATTCCATATATGCAGAAACTAAAAATAGAATAAAAGACAGAACTAATATGTGGCAGAATCAAAAAGTAGAAATCATTTGTGAATGAATAATATGTTGCAGAATTAATTGTGTATGAATCAAAAAGTATGGATTAATGGTAAAACATGAAATTACTTAACAAACCATGAATTAATATATGGATAGATTACATATAGAAACGTGAATTAGAATTAATATGTATAAAAACCAAAAGTAGAGAAGAAGAAGAAACCTCGTTATGATGCCTATATACATCAAAAGAATTTCATGCCACCAAATTAATTTTGGTACACGTGACGAATGATTATGCTTGTAAAAATTATTACCTTTAACTAATTTATTTTAATTTTGAGAAAATCGTATTGATAATGTGTTATAAAAAGAGAAAAAAGAGACGTGATAATAAAAGTCCCTAGACTTATTAAGAACAAAAATTTCTTATTTATAGGAAGAATTAGGATTATAAAGGATACAGCAGTTATATTAATTAGGGCTACAAAGGTATAAAAGTTATTCATAAATACTAATATATTGACAACAAAAACTAACTTGTTGAGAATTAAACCTTGTTTGAGCTGATTTTGTGTGTGTGTATTAGAATAGTGATTTTTTTGGAGATATGTGGTTAAAATAAAAAAAGAAAATCGACATTTACATCTAAAATTATTTATTAGAGAATGTATGGTTAAAAATGAATTTTGAAAAAAAAAATGAATTTTTTTGTAAAAACGGGGGCCAAACATAGTACGTAGCTAAAAATTGTTTTAGATTTTTTGTGCTTTCATAAGAAAGGCAAAAATTTGCGATTGTTTCACCCTACATTGTCTCGCCCTATATGATGACAAACGACAAGGGCGGGCTACATTTAACCCCTCCAAAATCTTTTTATTTTTATTGTATTTTCATATTTCTCAACTTAAATTTTATTTTAAAATATAAAAAAATAGTTAAATGGGACGATAAATAGGGATTTTTCATCCCTTTTCAGCTGTACAGCATCACGAAATTTCTCGACTACACGAGGATGGTAATAATCACCCTTTTATCAACCCTTTTTCATTAAATATAGCTTCAACTCGACAAGATAAAAAAGAAGCTTCTTGTCTAGCCAAAGTAGAAATTACATGGAACCAAATTTTTAAGTTACCATTTTAAAAATTAGATTTAAAATTTATTTATACAAAAATCAAATGATAATTCAATATTAATAATAATATTATAAAATTTAAATTAATCTATATAACTCTTACCCGCCCTACCTCCATCAACCCCTCCAAATTTCATCCCAAACCCTACGTATTTTCCCTTCTCTCTCTCTCTCTCTCTCTCTCTCTCTCGTTGAAGCGGCTTGTCACATAATTTGATAGCTATCTACAAACCCTCAATCCTCGTCTCGCCACCGACGACAACGGTCGCGAAGGAATGCATAGCAACAAGTTTGCTTTTACGACGACAATACGCTTGTTGCACACGAAGTAGCCTGTGACCATGCAAAAAGTGTAGCGATGACACATGTCATTGATGCCCATTGTAGCGACATCGTCGCAACTGAGCATTCCCCGCTCATCACTATTCGAATCAGAGACTAATCGAAATGGATTAAACTCCTTTACCTAGGCCTATGCCATGGTAATGCAGCATGGTTCAATCGAAATTTCCTCTACATTTTCTTCTCGTCGCTCATTAGAGGCCTTCCAGCCACCTGGTTTGTTTATCTCTTCTTTTGTTTTTGAGATGGCAAGAGTTTTTGAGTGAATTTTGTAGTGGCGATGGCTTGTTTGAGAATTTTATTGGTGGTAGTGGCGATTGTGGTGTGGTAGACATGGAGGTGGAGGACATATTGGATTTGAAGAGATGGTAGATGTGGTGGTGACGACGATGGTTGGCACAAGCTTTGTTGATGTAGTTGGTGGTTGTGGTGGTCACAGTGATATAGGCGATGGTGTTGGCGGTTGTGGTGTAGCTGTCGTGTTGGTATTTGGTGGTGGTGTTGGTTGTCATTATCGTTGTTGCAATGGTTCTGCTACTAGAGATAGTGGTGAGGTGGTGGCTACAAATTATTTGGTTGATTGTTATCAATAAATTGGTTAATGTGTGATCAATTAAATAGATAATTTGTGACTAATAAATAATGCATGGCATAAAATTTGTTAAGTTGTGACCAAAAATTTGGTAATTTGTTACCTAGAAATAATTTATAACTAATTAATTTGAACCATGAATTAAATTGTAACTTATAAAATTTGTGATTTAAAACCAAGATGAGGCCTATTAATTTAATAAATTTGTAACCAAGAAATAAGTTGTGACCTATAAAATTAATGATTTGTGGCTGTAACGTTCATAATTATGATTGATACATAACTGTAACTATAAATTATATGGTATTGTGAACTTAGCCCCTATTTAAACCCCATTCTTCGAAAAAATAATATATTTTTAAATAGTGCGTTGACATCATTTCAATACATACTTCAATAAAATAATAATACACGCAAATCTAAAATATTTCGTTATTTTTTAACCACGTTTTCCATCAACACACTATTTAAAAATGCATTGTTATGGGAAGAATGGGGCTCAAACAAGTGCTTAATATATTTAATTAATAAATACTTTTAAATTAATTATTTAACAAATAAAATTTAATTAATATCTGATTTTTAAAATAATAAACCTTATTTCTTAGATTTGAAATTGGTCATACATGAAATTTTCGCCTAGCCAAACCCTGCAATTAAAGAAGTAAACAAGATGAAGAGGCAGGGAGGGGAAGGCGAAGAAGCCCCAAATTAATGAAGATAACACAAACATTTGATGTCCAAAGATTCATGTTCTGTAGTGCTCGTACAGTTTCTGTCTGATGTATCACCAATGTCCAAAGATTGAGGAAGCTTTTCAGTAAGATCCACAGCCATAGAATGCTATATTTATATCTGGCTCTAGAAATAAGCTAACACTCAAATATAGAGCTGATATAAATATGACTCTAATTTAAGCCCTTAAAGATAAAGCCCTTAAAGAGCATAAGCTAACACTGAGACAACAAGTGAATGAACTAAGATTTAAGCTTCAGCTAGAATGGACGAAAAATTCTCTAGCTAAACAATAAGAATTGAATGAAATGCTAACATTTATCAACAGAATATGTGTGTGTGTGTGTGAGAGAGAGAGAGAGAGA